ATAACTCCATCGCCTGAAGCAGCTTAGAAGCTTTTTCAATGAAAACCATCGTTAAATTTTTTTGAAAATTTAGTAACATGCCAACTAAAAGCTTAAAAATGAAACATATAAATAAAAAAACCAAGAACTAGCAGCAATTATAAATCTGGAGGGATGTACGATGAAGATTACCCAAGAAGAAGCAGATGCTGTAAATCCACACATCAACTAAGGGATTGCAGAGAAACATAAATTTGTGTAAAAAATCAACCCAAAGCAGAATCATAATGCCTATCCACCAACAAAGTAAACCAGAAACCAGAAAACAAAACACACTAAGGAATTTAACCCAATTTCCTTTTGTTTTTTCAAACAGAACCAATATAGAGAAAAAGTAGTCTTACGTGCACGAGACAAAACATACTAAGAAACTGAACCCAATATATATATATATATAAGAAAAATAAGAGCAATACATTCCAATAAATGAGGAAAGACCAATACACTGTAATTAACTTGTCAAGGCAGTTAAAGCACAAGTAAAAAAAAGCTTTGAAGACCAATACATTCCAATAAATGAGCTCCAAACTTATCGATATTCAAAGATTACCAAATCAAATAAATTAGACCCACCAAATATCCAGAAAATAAAAAACTATCAATCCATCACAGTCTCAACCACCTTGACAGCCTTAATTTAATAGAAAAAAACATATACCTCAACCCCCAATTCAATTTAGAACCCCTAATTCAACAAGCCTAATTTAACATAAAAAATCCTAAATTCAAAGAAAGAGGATGCTAACCTTAAACTGATATGAGAGAGGAATTGAGGAAAGGATATGACACCGTCGACCCTGTCTCGTCGATGTCGTCACAGAAGGAGGAGTGCCTGTGGAAGAAATCAAAATCAGACAAAGACTGAGAAAAGAAGAGGTAGCGTGACTCTGTTCATAGAGAGATGTAAGGAGATAGAAGAATGAGAATAAGGAAACTAACTTACCTGAGAGGAGAGATGTGGTCGTTGGTGTTGTGTCGTTGTTGTTCATCCGTTTTGCATTTACTGCTGTGGTGGAAAGGCAAAGTTCTCCACTGCCTTGTGAACCATTGACTGGTCAACAAGTCAACTTTCTTTGGTGTGCGAGTGTGCCACTGCTAGCAATGAAGATTCTAGCAGACTTAGTTTAGAATGGATAACTTGCGCCCCAAGTTACTGATTTCTGCAAACAAACGATTGTGAATTTGTGTGAAGAATATCTCCCAAGTAAGTTCTTTTCTTGCCTCAAACTGGTAAGGACTTTAACAATTTATCTCAGTATAAAAAGGTTGTTCTGGCCAGAATGGTTGATGGAATTTAAAATGTCTCGGGCAGAACTGCCTTTTACAGAACTATAAAAATAAATATCCATGCTAGAAAGATGAAAGGACAGCTGGAAATTCATTTCTGTCTGGATAGGAGGCTCTGATCTGGGCTGGGCTGGAAATGTTTGGGCTGGACTGGACTGTTGACAACTTCAATTGCTAAACTTCAGCTGTAAATCGATACCAAAGGTTAATTCTGGCAGAGCTTTAATGTACTTCAAGCTTTTGTGAGGCTTTTGAGTGGGCATAACTGCAGTTTCTTCAGTCTACAAGGGCAGAAGTGGCTGTTCTCGAGGACTTCAGTGGGCTAGAGATTGCACTGTGAAATTTGTTGAGGTTTTCATGTTTGGGAAAAGCTCAAGCTCTACCTGTCTTGATTCTTTGCTGAACCAAATTTGTAACGAGAGAAATCTCGTTTTGATTGACTTTTTTCTAAGTCTGAACTTTAGGAATTCTGATCTGAAACTGGTTTCACTTGGAATTCAAGTGGGTTTTTTGGTTGATTTTTGAGTTGTTTGTTTGTTTGATCGTTTTTTATTGATTGTTGTTGAATTGAGTGTCTTTGAACCTATTCACCATCTCCTCTATTTTTAAGAGATGTTTAGGTTTAGGGTTTCTTTCTTAAAATAATAGGCGGCAAATCTTTTAAAAATCTAGAAAGAAATACAAGAGAGAAAAGTTTAAAATTTTGTCAGATAGGCTCTCATCAATCAATCCTTAAGATCACTTCTCTATTTTTTTTAAAAGAAAACCTAATCTCCTTTCCCAATTTTAACTGCCCCTTTTGAGATTTCATCCGTGATGGTTAGTTTGATTTCTTCAGTTTGAACAACTCCTTGCTTTCCTGTTTATCTCTTTCTGAGATTGTAGCTTGCTTATCTCTTGGGAGAATCACCTTCTCCGGAAAGTAGAAAAAATCTCTGAATATATATATGTAAGAGGGATTTGATCTTCGGATTTTCAGAGGTGTCTCTTCCAGTTTGCCAACCACTGACCCTTCCATTTATCAACTCTGTGCTAGTTGGTTTTGTTGACTTTTCCAAACCTGATAATACAAAGATGTCACGTGGGTTCTAGGATGGGTCCCTTTCTTTATCCAAATCGTGTTGGGCTTATTTTGTTTAGAGCCCAAGAGGTGATTTTCTTTTAAGGCCCGAGTCTATTTGTCTGGTTTGGGCTAGGCCTTTCTGGATCTTGGGTTTCCTCTTGTTGGGCTAGGCGTGCTAATTTAGGCCCAAACAGTTGTCACATAAGGAAGAAATGAGCAGCTGTAGAAGGAATCAAACTCAAAGGGAAAGAAAAATGAGATGAGCGGCTCTAAAATGTCTTTGACTAAAGGAGAGAGCAATTGTTTTTGTTTTACCTACAGCAACAAGTTAATCGGTAACCAGTAAGCAACGGTGTGGATTACTTCACATGCCCAAACTACTCATCCGATGGTCATAAGAAGTGGTGCATTCATGCGCCAAGCGCACCGTAGAATTTTCCTAATGGTGTGTCAAAATGTGTGTCTTCCAATCCTGACCCATATATATATATATATAAGGTGTTTTAATATAATTTCATTTATGATAGTGGCATATATTGTAATTTCCTTAAAAATTATGCACATATTTATTTGGCGAGAATGGAATGCAATTGAAAAGGGAGAGCATGTGGACTACATCCATTACATCTTGATGAAAATGGACCTATATCAAAGAAGCCCTAAAAAAAATTGTTTATGTTGTGCTGCGAGAATAATTAGCTGTGAAATAAAATAGTTAAGTGTTTGGTAAATTGTATTTGGAAAAGTACATGATGATTAGCTGTGAAATACAAGTAATGTGTATGTGTATAATTAGGGGTGGCATTTTAAACTGAAAAACTGAAAAACCACAAAAACCAACCGACAATTTACCACAATGAAACCGCAATCGCGGTAAACCGAACCACATTTGCGGTATTAAGAACCGAACCGCACTTGCGGTTGCAGTATTTGATTTTCAAAACTTGCGGTTACCGCAAACCGCAAAGTATAGCCGCACGGATGATGAGGTTGAATTCTACAAGGAAATGGAACATATGACAACTTGTAAGTAATTAGTTTATTTATGCTAATGTTATTTATGCTTCTTCTTATAATAAAATGTACTAAACTATGTTGTTTTATTTGTAAATAACATTGGTGCTCAAACAACACAACGGAGTTCTTCAAATCCACTCACCACCAACACTTGAGTTTGTAATTTTAGTTTGTAACATTGGTGCATTGCATTTTCCTTTTAGTTTATAACTTTAATTAACTTTGAATTGGATTTTTCTTTTTGGTTGTAACTTTAATTCATTTTGCTTTGCATTTTCCTTTTGGTTTATAACTTTAAAGGATTTGGAATTGGAATGCTTGGAATTGTAACTTTAATTTTCTTAGGTTGTGAATGCTTGAGAAGTTGAGGAGATTGTGAATTTATATATGTTTGAGAAATTGAGGTTGTGTATTTATTTATTTAGGTTGTGAATTTATATTTTTGTGAATGCTTGAGAACTTGCGGTTTTAAACCGCTAATTCACGGTAACTGACCGCATTTTGCGGTTTACCGCAAAACGCGGTCGGTTTGCGGTTTCAAAAATCACCAAACTACAAATAGTCGGTCGGTTTGCGGTTTGAGTAAAATTTCGCGGTTACCGAACCGCAACCACCCCTATGTATAATGATTGAAAAGTACATGATACTGAAATATTGATATTTATTGTAAATTCAAAACCATCACTATATCTCTCTCTAATATTATTAGAGCATCCACAATGGGCCCCCTAAATCCCATCTTTAGACAAATTTTAGGAATGAGTTGAAAAAATACAATTCCAACCATGCTCCCTATCCGCCTCCTAAAATAGGGAGACTTCTTGGACTGAGGGGTTTACCTCAGTGGTGAGGTCCCTCCCCCTTCCCCTCCCCTTGGTTACCCGTTCGAATCCCAGGATAAGTGCCCCCCTTCCCAGTGCAATGTATCTATCACTAATTCTTTTAAAAACAAAATTGAGGAGAGAAAAAGAACTCTTAGTGGCTCCCTATAATTTAATATTGCTTTATTTTATAAATATTTTAAACCTTTAATTAATGCTAACTTTTTTTTTTATATAGAGATGAACGAATTAAAAAAGAGTTATTGCATTTATTACTCCATAAATTAGAGAGTATGATTGGAGTTTAAAAAAAAATTATAGAGAGCTTTTAAAATAGCTTTCATATATTTTTAGCCAAATTTTAACTAAAAAATAGAGAACATTGCTCTTAATTCATACACAATGCCAAATTTTGGATCATACTCTTTCAACAAAATAAATGTTATTAAAGATCCTTTCAATAGCATTTAAGAACAAAAAATTGGTATTTAATTAATGCCATAAAATATAGAAGTTGTAGTAGCGTGGTTTCATTTCATGCCAAGATTGATTGGCAATGAACTAACCTATCCCTTATGTGAGGTTTTTTCTTCTATGAACCCAAAAGTTCTCTTAAAAAAACATAAATTGGTTTTGATTTCATTATAATTGGTCATCTCTTGCTTTATTGGTATGCAAAATATTGCCTTATGGACTTTATAAAACTAATTTCAATTTCAATTTTTGTATTTACTTAATAGGGAAAGTAATCAATAGAAAGAACAGGAGGAGACTCGAAATGAAACTCGGCTGTTAGCTCAAAGAAAGAAGACACTTGAGACGACTCTTGAGACGACCAAAACGTCTCTCCTCTCCCGCATAGCCCACAACTCTCTCTCTCTCTCTCTCTCTCTCTCTCTCTCTCATCGGTCTGTGCTCTTTTCTCCTGATCCAATACTCCGCCGTTCCACCGCATAGCCATGGACGCTCTCCCGCAAGACACGCTCCACCAGATCTTCTCCAGCCTTCCCCTCCGTCAGGTCATGATCTGCCGCTCACTCTCCAAGTTCTTCAACCACCTCCTGACCTCACCATCCTTCATACAGCTCATCTCCACCCAATCGCCTCCCCTCAACCTCTTAGCCCTCCGCCCTCCCCACCACCACCACCACCGCCACGTATCCTCCCCTCCCTGCCTCCACGTGTTCGACCCCGACGACAACCAATGGCTCAGATTCAACCTAGATTTTCTTCCCTTCCGCTCCCCCCACCCCGTCGCCTCCTCCCTCGGCTTCGTCTACCTCTGGGGCGAATCGCCCGACTCGCCCGAGTCCACCAAGTCACTCGTCGTCTGCAACCCTCTGACTCGCCAGTTCCGAGTCCTGCCCCAGCTCGGGTCTGCTTGGTCGCGCCACGGCTCGGTCCTCGTTGACTCCGAAACTCGAGTCATGGTCCTCACCGAGCTCGCCGCTCTCTACTTCTCCGGTTCAAACCAGTGGCTAAAGTTCTCATCCAACCTCCCATCGAAACCCAGAAGCCCAATTTTGGTCTTTGACTCGGTTTACGCTCTCTGCGATGTGGGTTCGCCTTGGAGGAGTCAATGGAAGCTCTTTCATTGCACAATTTCAAAACTGAAGACCTCCCAGACGTGGACTCGGCTCGAAAAGCACGAGTGGGGGGACGTTTTTGACATCTTGAAACGACCCCGTTTGGTTCGCGGAAACGGGAACAAGGTTTTGATGGTTGGTGGGTTGAAATCGTCTTTCTCGCTGAATGCTTCGTGCTCGACGATTTTGATACTGAGGCTGGACTTGGATAGCTTGGAGTGGGACGAGGCGGGCCGAATGCCGGTGGACATGTTCAGGTGTTTTCAAGAGTCGAGCAAGTTCAAGGTGTTTGGTAGCGGTGATAGGGTTTGTTTTTCGGCCAAGAGAGTTGGGAAGTTGGCTTTGTGGGACCATTGTTCGGGGAAAGGCGAGTGGCGGTGGATTGATGGTGTGCCTGGAAGCGGCGATGGGCTTTGCCGGGGGTTTGTTTTCGAGGCCAGGCTCACTGCATTGCTTTGATCGGGTTCAGCAAAGTTTTAAGCTTTCGATGCCAACTAGAGGTTGGTATTCATAAAAAAAAAAAAAACCCCAAATGTTGTTGTATTGCCTTGAATTTGATAACCTGTTGTGTTAGTTGAATCTCTTAACAAATCAATATAATTTTTATTTCTCAACATTTGTTGCCTTGGAATTTTTGTTGCTGTATGTAACCGGCTTAGCCTGAATTGCATGGTGGATTTACAGAACAGCCAAAAGGAGAAGAATTAAACCCCGTTGCTGCAACACTTTTTTGGTTTTTTGGTATTGTTGGCGTTTGTGTGTCTATGAAAGTTTAAGACCAATGTAGCTGGCAAAGGATTATATATAAATAGGGGTGAAGTTTGTCTCAATGTTGTGAGAGTATAAAACTAAAAACATTGCAAGTTTCTGGGCTTGTGGTAGTGTTTATACTGACACTTTGATCAGAAACTTTGACCATTTTGTACACAGATGAAAGCATGTTGGTAACTTTTCTTATACCATCTCTACGACATCATTTGATGATTTTCTATGACTTAAATACTGCACTGGTGTTATTGATCTCTTATTGCTGGTTTGGCAGTAAATTCTTGTACTTATGTGCCTATGTAGTTTGCTTCTCTGCTTTTACCAATTTGTACTACAAAGAGCTTTGTGACTGATCTATTTGTAGCGTTTTTTTTCTTGATCCGACATCTGCTCCTTGAGATGCATGATTGATTTCTTTTTTCGAAAGCTTTTATTCAAATCCATAAGGTTGAATTAATTAATTTTGCTAATTGATCAAAATTCTGGACTGGACTTTCAATTTAGTGGCTTGACAAGTCACTTTGAATATGCATTTTCTATGACTCAATTTAGTTGCCTACACACCCCATGTATGGGTCCAATGACTCTTTAGTGTGATAGGTCTAGTCATCAGAATCAAAGCTTGGAACTGAATTCTTAACCTAATCTTGTTTGGTCGTGTCAAAATTGGAAATTTGTGGGTGATGTGTGGTAGGAAGTGTAGCCCTTTTGCTGATTCCAAAATAGGTGTATAAATCTGGTTTAAATAGATTTCAAAGCTAGTTGGAAGCTTTGTTTTCATTGAATAACATGTCATTGAGTGCTGCTGCATGTAGGCATTTGTAATTCATGATTCATATGGTATGATTGTGCTTCTTATTCATGTTCCTTACCAGGTTGCTTGCTCAGTTTTCTAGCAATAATGTTTACATATGTAGCCACCTTGGTATTTAGCAAGGTTATATATAGGGATGATATTCAAATGATTTGGTTTTTTATATATAGCTGAAATTTATGATTTTGGTAAATGAAATCATAGAAATATCAGGCTTGGTGCTTGTGTCGTGATCATCCATTAATTCTTTTGTAGGAAGCTGCAGGGTTATTCTCTTAAGTCAGATTGGTTATGTGCTAGTTAGATGTAGGGTATTTAAGCAACACCTAAGAACCCAAATGCTAATTGAAACTAGCATTTTCAGAGTTTATGTAGGACAATTGTGAGAGAAAAGAAGAGGAGAGATCCGGAATCACTCTGGTCATTGGCATCACACAAGGCGTATTGCAATCAGATGTTAGAACAATTCCCACATCGCATCGGCCTTCAGCATCACAGTGAAGGTGTCCTCGACTCACCCAAGCCAACTCATGGTTCGCACAAGTGCAGGAACCTTAATCATAAGATAGAGTTGAATAGTTAGCTAAAAACAAAAAAGATAGAACGCTGTAGCAGAGTCTTAATGATCCTTATATCCCATAACCTATATTTCCATAAAACTTGAGAATATATTAAATTTCATAGCATGCATCTTTTTGGTTCTGTCCAGAAAATGCAAAATAAGAGAGAAGATAGAAAGAAAAGATTCTGGATCACAAAATTGCATTTTTTATTTTTTATCATTGGTATTTTTTTTAATTTTTTATACAAAGGCGATAGTGTTGTATTTATGAGTAGGGATGAAACAAGTACAAAAACCGGGCTATGTCCTAGACCTACAGGATTAGGCGATCACAGATTGTAGTTTCACATCAATTTATCAGAGAACATCAATTTGTGATCACAGATTGCATTTCTCTGATAAATTGATGTGAAGCTATTGCTGGTTCAATTAATATTTAATCCATGTCTTAGGAATCTATTTCTAGTGGTACAAGGTACAGTTTATATTGAGTGCTTCATGTTTTTCAAAGTTAATGACCAGATTTATCTTTTGTGTGTTATTCATTGTCTCATTCCTTGTTGTAAAGGTTATTTTGGATGCTTTCTGTTGCCTTCTTAAATTAAACTTGCGTTTTTATAGAAGACACTTCTGGATTTTAATGTTTCTTTGGCACTTCGTAACTCTGGTAGAGAGTTCTTCCAGTCTGTCATTAAAAAAACGGAAAGAGAATGTTCATGACTTACCCCTTTGTAGGTAATTAGTCTAATAATATTGGCAAATGTGACATTCTTGTTGAATTTAGGACTCATTCGTTCCATGTATTCCTCCTTATTGAAAGAATTCTGGAGAGAGCATGTATTTTTCATCTTTCAATTGAAAGGTAGTCATCCTTGTAATTTACTTTTTCAGTGAATAAGCACAGTTCCTTAGTCAGGACCGGCTCCCTTTGTAAGTGGCAGAGTGGCCTTGAGGGTGTTGCATGATTTGAGAACTCATATCCTTTTGCAGTTGGATGGGCTACAATTCTGAAATGATTTTCACAGCCACTTGAAACAGCATTTGCATAATAGGGTTTCCAGTGAAACAGCTGTAGCCTGTTAGGTTTGGACTGTGATGTCTTAGATTCAGCAGTTTGAACTTTGAAGGGTAGAAGCTTTGTGGGTCAAACATCATCACAATTTGCATGCTTTTCAGATCCTAGATGTCAGCTCTCACCAAATTACCCAATATTATGTGTGTTTCTCATGCCTAGTAGTGGTCCAAAATCTGCAAATCAACATCATGGTATTATCTGTCTATTAGAAAATCAATTTGGGTATGTGCATTTTGAATCTGTTTGGAGGAAGGAAAAAAAGAAAGAAAGCAAAAGCAGAAATCAACTGGATGGTGATACAGATGTTTGGTAGTGTTTAATTTTTTTTTTACCATTTGTTTCTTCTTTACATGTTAAAGAACTACTATGATGTCCTCCAGTTAAAATATAAGATTGAATTTTATTTTCAGGATGCCATTTAGATTTAGCTTGCAATGAAGAATGCTTTAACTTTATTATTGCAATCTTCAACAGGTAGGTAAAGACATTGATGGGCATTGACTTTTGTGAAATTATTAAAGAAGGTAATGAAGATATTAATATTGTGATTCTTGGTGCACAAAGGAGGATTTATAGTGTGATTCTTCTTGGTGCACAAAATCTCCAATAAAATACAAGCTGGATCAACCTTGATGTGGATGATTTTGGACATGCCATTTGAAAAAGTGATGCTCAAGTCAGACATGCCATTTCTCTTTTTCCACCTTTAGCTCCAGTTTCTGATTCTGAAAGCATTTCCTTTTTCTTCTTTTGGATTATAAATTATGATTAATATATAATTGATAATATCAATGTCATCTGAAAGACGTGGAGCTATATAGCTCATGCTCTGGACCCAGTTCCCCTCAGTATAGGTATATAGAAAATTTGGATAGGACCCATTGTTTACCAAACACACCAACATGTCGAGGATGAGCCCATCTTTTTGGGTCAACAGACCCCAGGCATTCTTAATAAGGATGGGTTATCTTGTCCACCACATTATTAGTTTGGAACTAGTGAGAAATTTGACGATGCCACCGCCGATTGGTTGGGTTGTCTCCTATCTGTGTTTCCTCTAGTCTTTGTATTTGTATGCTCTATTTTTCTGGTTGCAGTTGTCCCTTAGCTGTGAATGTTATTAATGTTCAATTTAAAGTTACAATTATGTGTGTGCTGTGAATGTTGCATATTCTATCAAGTGAAATGGGTGACCTTATCTGACAAGGAAAGAAGGAAAAAAAAGGTGAACTTCTCATCTGAGAGCCATTTTGCTGAACTCTTTTTAAATCTCCATTCCCGACAACAATTTGAGGCGTGAGGTTTTCGGTGGTGTGATTGTTGCACAAATATATTTACATAAAGATTTTAGTTAGCGTCAATCGCTTACGCATGCATGCTTAAATAAATACGAGATGAAACCTTTTTTTATGGTTAACTGTTAAATCACTAATCCTAACAACCATTTGAGGTGTTTAAGCGCCATGATCTTTACACAATTATAGTTACAAAAATTTAGTAATACTTTTCTTCACTATTTGATGTGGGGTTTTCAATTGTCCATATATTTGATGTCTCATTAACTACCACACGGTCGGGTCAGGCCCCGAGCTGAAGTGGGAGTGTAAACTCTGGCGGACACTGGAGCGGTCAATGTTGATGTGTCCCTCGGTCTGCTCAGGGCACTCCACATGTCCTGCCCTTTGTTTTGGGCATCTCATTAATACACACATTTTTCTTGGTAAATCTCATATAGACTTTATCCTTGGTAGTGTTTTTGTTCCTTGTGTTTAATTTTTTTTACCATTTGTTTCTTGTTTACATGTTAAAGAACTACTATGATGCCCTCCATTTTAAATATAAAGATTGAATTTTATTTTCAGGATGCCATTTAGTTCAGTATGGTTGCAACTTGCAATGAAGAATGCTTTAACTTTATTATGGGCAATCTTCAATTGACCTTTGTGAAATTATTAAAGGAAATGGAGATTAATATTGTGATTCTTCTTGGTGCACAAAATTTCCAATAAAATACAAGCTTTTTCTTTTCTTTTCTTTTTTTGGCTGAAACAGCAGAAAAGTTTGTATAAAATGAGGATTTTTGTTACCCTCAACCAATTATAAACTTCCACGTGGAAAAATTAGACGTAGCATGCTTTAATTGGCCAAAAATAACAAAGTATTGCTATCTCCATTTTATACAAGTGTTTCTCATCAAACAACCTTAATTTGGATGATTTTGATCATGCCATTTGGTTAAGTGATGTTGAAGTCAGAGATGTCATTTCTCCTTTTCCACCATTAGCTACAGTTTCTGATTCTGAAAGCATTTACTTTTGGATTATAAATTATGATTAATATATACGAAATTGATAAATAAAAGATCACTGTCATATGAAAGACACAGACCTAGCAAGAATTCTGTAGTGAGGACTTTATATATGGCCTTTAGGTGAGGTCTTATTTCTTAATCATTAGATAAAATTAATTAGATGTTGAATCAAATTAATTAGCCTGATCCAACAATTAAGAGATAGACCTCACATAAGGGCTATATATAATACCCTCACTATAGAATGACTCATGGACCTATAGTAGCTCTGGACCAGTTCTCCCATTATAGATATAGAAAATCAAAATAGGACCCATTGTTTACCAAACGACCTTTAGGTGAGGTCTTATTTCTTAATCATTGGATAAAATTGATTAGATGTTGAATCAAATTAGTTAGCCTGATCCAACAATTAAGAGATAGACCTCACATAAGGGCTATATATAATACCCTC